ACCATGTTCAATGTCATCATGGGAAATAAGTACATACAGATGTCAAGCCACTCAGAATCACAGCCCAAAGAAGGTGACACACAACCTTGACTATCACAATGGTAATAATAGTTATTCAGCTATTTAGAAACCAAAAAACATAACTATGGCCATCAGTTGATTCCAACGCATAGTGACCCTGTAAGACAGAGTAGAACTGCCCCATAGGATTTCAAGGCTGTATTTTTTTTTCAATTGTGATTTGAGTGAAAGTTTACAGGGTAAATTCAGTTTCCATACAGCAGCCCATACACATTTTGTTTCATAACATTGACTGCAATCCCCATAATGTAACAGCTCTCTTACCACTTCCTCCCTGTAGTTACCTCTTCTCTGTGTCCTTGTTTCCTATGCATTCCTGCCCTCTGAGCTACCTCCTAATAGAGCAAATGCTGCTCTTCTGGTCTCCCATGATTGATTGTTCTAAGGAGTATACCTACCTGGTTTAAATATTCATCTTATATGCCTGTCTGTTGTTTGGCTGGAAGCCAGAGGAGTGAGTTCAATTCCAGGCCTGAAGGTTAACTAGGGGCCATAGTCTTGGAGGTTTCACAAGTCCCTATTACACCAGTCAGCCTGGTCTTTTTTATTATTTTGAGCTTTTCTTCCACATTTTCCTTCCACTCTATCCAGGATCTCCTGCACTGATCCCTTTCTAAGTGGTTGACTGTGGTACCTGGGCACCATCTACTTCTTCTGGTCTCATGGTCATATACACTGAAGTTCCCATGGTCCACTAGTCCCATGAACTAATTATTTCCATACGTCTGGTTTTCTTCACTCTTCTTTTCTATGAACAAGGAGGGACCAATTGTTTCATCTAGATGGTCACTTGCAACATTTTAAGATCCCAATCACTGTTCACCAAAGTAGGATGTAGAACAATCTTTTTGTATACTATGTTATGCCAATTGAGCTTGATGTCCCTGAGACCATGGTCCTGAACCCACAGGTCCAGCAACTCACCCCCTCAATGTGGTTGATTGTGGCTAAGAAGTTATCTAACTTTGCCCCCTGTTCATTCTATTTATATGGACATTGTTGCAGTGCATACAAATATATACGTAGAAATATCATCTGCCGATCTTAACCTTATATATGGTCATAAATATATTCCTTTTTGCCAAGGCTGTAATTTTCTCCCACAGAGGAGCTAGTGGATTTGAACTATCTACCTTTGAGTTAAAGCCAAACACTTAAACAGTGCACCATCCAGGCTCCTTATACAGCTATTAGCCAGACTAAATAAAATAACCTACATGGTGCATTCAGTCTACAGTTGGTGGTTCATTTGTGGTATAATAATAGGTACTATGTGTTGAGTACTTATAGTATTCTAGGCACTATGCTAGGACAGCATTAATCTACATACATTCATGCAACAAAAATTTAATGAACATTTACTATGTGATAAATATCACATTTGGTGCTCAGAACATATTAATAAATAAGATGTTATTTAAATTTGAAAATAGCCTATGTCATGCACTTTATCCCAGTTTTACAGGTGAGAAAATGAGATTTGGAGAAGTGACTTGCTCCAGGTCCTAAAAATGCAGTCAAGACAGGATGGGAACAGAGATCTGCCTTATCCAAAACCAAGGATACATTTGCCATTGAGGAAGATCCTGGTGGAAACATCTGGGAAGTTGAGATTTTATACTGATCTGAGACCAGAGCCAAAAAGGGACCTTCTAAGGGTCCAATCCAGGAGTTCTGGTACCATAGTGCCTAAGGCACTTGACTGCTAACCAGAAGGCTGATGGTTCAAATGCACCACCCACTCCTCAGAAGGAAGGTTGAGCAATCTACTTCCGTAGTGATACCACCTTGGAAGCCCATGGAGGGGTTGCTGTGAGTCGGGTCTGACTCAATGGCACAGAACAACAACAACAACAACCACAACAAGGGTCCTATCCAGTTGAGTCTCAAGTGCCCATCCCACAGAGCAACTGCATCAGATTCTCCTGGGTTCTGCCTTAAATACAGATTCCAAGGCCACACATCTGACCTGCTCAGCTAGACAGATCTAAGCATGATCCTGGGCATCTGTATTTAAAAAATATATCCATTTGATTTTGATGAACTGCTAGGTTAGTCTAGATCAGAAGTTCTCAATTCTAGTTGTTATTAGAATCATTTGAGGAGTTTTTTAAAAACACCAAGGCCCAAAGACTATGGCAAGAAATTTGGAAGGCAGCTACATGGCCAACCAGCTAGAGGAGATCAACATTTTTGCCCATTCCAAAGAAAAGTGATCCAACAAAATGCATAAATTATTAAACTATATAATTAACATCACATGAAGGCAAAATTTTGCTGAAAATAATTCAAAAACATTTGTAGCAGTCATCAACAGGTAACTGCCAGAAATTGAAGATGGATTCAGAAGAGGATGTGGAATGAGGGATATCATTGCGAATATCAGATGGATCTCAGCTGAATGCAGAGAATAACAGAAAGATGTTTACCTGTGTTTTACTGACTCGGCAAAGGCATCCAACTGTGTGGATCATAGCAAATGATGTATTCCATCATGGTGAATGGGAAGTGCAGAACATTTAATTGAGTTCATGAGGAATCTGTGCATAGACCAAGAAGCAGTCATTCGAACAGAACAAGAGGATATTGCACGGTTTAAAATCAGAAAAGGTATGTGTCAGGGTTGGATCCTTTCACCATACTTATTCAATCCATATGTTGAGCAAATATTCTGAGAATCTGGACTATAAGAAGAGGAATGTGGCATCAGGATTGAAGGAAAGCTCATTAACAACCTGTGATATGCAGACCACACAACCATGTTGCTGAAAATGACAATGACTTGAATCTATGCTTTCAGTATGGATTACACCTCAACATAAAGAAAACAAAAATCCTAACAACTAGACCAATAACCAACATCATGATAAAAAGAGAAGATATGGAAGTTGTCAAGGATTTCATTTTACTTGGTTCCACAATCAACGCCCATGGTAACAGCAGTCAAGAAATCAAGTGATGCATTGCATTGGACAAATAAGCTGCAAAAGACCTCTTTCAAATGTAAAAACACAAAAATATTACTTTGAGGACTAAGGTACACCTGACTCAGGCTATGGTCTTTTAAATTGCCTCATAAGCATGGGAAAGCTAGACACTGAATAAGGAAGATTTTTGAAGACTTAATGCCTGTGAATTACAGTGCTGGCTAAGACTATTGAAAATGCCATGGACTTCTGGAAGAATGAACAAATCTGTCTTGGACAGAATGACCCCTAGAAGTAAGGATGGTGAGACTTCATGTCCTATACTTTTGACATGTCATCAGGTGATGACTCTGGAGAAGGACATCATGCTTGGTAAAGTAGAGGGTCAGAAAAAGAGTAAGACCCT